TGAAAGTCGTACTACAGACGGTAAATGTCAAATCACAATAAAAGCATTTCAACTGCAATAACATGTTCCAGGACCATGTATTCTCTTAACACCATCAGATTTAGAAGCAATGGTCGTATAAAACAAGACAGATCTATTTAAACACAACAATATTCATGTAATTCCCACAAAATCACATAAAGAAAGGAGACATTAGCAAATACATGTGTATTATCATTTTTCGTCAGGATAACAAAATGTTCTCTCCTTGTTACCATCTCCAGGTTCAGCTTAAGACGGGTCCTCCTTTGGTCAAAAGTTTGTTCCCCCTCTAATGAGTGTGTCACGCGTTGCACACGAGTGGCGGACGGGGTGCACACCCGTGTGCAACGCGTTGCACACGGGTATCACACGCGTGACCAACCCGATGCACACTGGTTGCGTAACGCGTTGCCCATGCGTGTAAGGGGAATGAACTTCTAGGCAGTAGTGTACAAGAAAGCACTAGGAACGAGGCATCGCTTAGAGGAGCTTGGACATACGCGGCGTAAACACAGCTATATTTAACACTGTTTTTTTCCAGCGTCTTGTTCTTCCCCGCCCTGAAGGCAGGGAAGTATACGTGAACCGTTACTTTTGTGGCATGGTCGTCGACATGTTGGTTTATTTGAAATTTCAAGCCACGCATTTACCGAAACGAAACATACAAATCATGTGCGTGGAATGTTGATGCTATTCTTTTGCAGCAATAAGAGATACTTCAAAATCGTCTTGCAATTCTGAGACTTAGTCACGTTTCCTAATGCAGATAACCCATGACACTTGTTCATTTTCTTTTTAAAAGAACTAAAAATGTTAAGGGGAAATATATCTATATCTCATTTTAACCAGTCTATATTTTGCAAGAATATACTATTGCGCATTGAGCGATTATCTCATTTAGCTATAGGAGCAGTAAAGAGCTTTATCACGCACTGACCTTGCAACGCTGTACATCTGATCTTATTCAAGCTGTATCAAAGAGCGTGAGTCATTATCTCCCTTACCCGAACAGCTCTGTTACGCACTACCTTTGCAATGTATAGTATGTTATTAAGGCAGCCATCAAAAAAGGTTCCAGGGAGGAATTTAGGTCAAGCCTGTCACGCGCACTCAATCTTTCAACTTCACATTGCCGTTGCAACATATTGTACAACACGATTAAATAACAGGCTTCTATAAAGTATAACTTTGTTCAATAAACAACAAATGTAAAACAATGGGTTTGATATGATAAATTTGCAATTAGTTGTTTTCATGATCACATGTATGATCCTTGCTGGCCATAGTTGAGCACAGTATTGTTTCAAATAGTTCACTGTATGTAATGTACAAAATTAACGGTTTCCGTATACTTCCCTGCCTACAGGGCGGGGAAGAATGATTCATAACATTATATGCGGCGGTTTACAGTTGTGCGTGGTTTATTGCTTTGACAGTTTTCTTCCGGCAGAGATTATACACCAATATATGTTCTTTGCTTCTGGATACATAGGAAATCAACAGGTTGGTCTGTAGTATGTAATTATTTTCCTAAAAGATAATATGGTTGCACGATATCTTCATGATGTTTGGGTTGAAAATAGTAACATTGTTCTGAACATACTTCAAATCGAAACTGAAAGCAATCACAGCACAAACCCAGTTAACCAAACGGAACCGTACATAAGAATAGTATGCAGTGTCAGCTTGATGTGAGAGGAAACCCCGAAGTGATTCAGGTCTTAGACGTTCACCACTTTTGTGAAACTAACGAGCACAGGTTTTGTGCTGACAATAAAATAGCGGCGAACCGGGATTCAAACACACTGTCATAGGGTTCTGGCGTGCCCAAGGTACACAACTCTGTATAGCAAATTACAGCGCCTTAGGCGACCTTGCCCCAATACACAACTTTAAGAAACAATCATGCAGCAGTTGTTTTAGATCACGAAACAGTGGCAATATTATACAATCACAAACGACAAAATACATGCACCATAAACGACAATTGAAAAACAAAGGTACATTCAACATACAAAGGAGGTACATTATAACAATTTTATTTAAAAACAAGTGTATTATAATGCTATGGAAACAACATGAGAATTGCGCAAAACCATGGTAATGTTGTACATACAAGAAATTTGTTTGTAATTGTTGATATGATCACAGATGTTTCTGGATAACTGTAAGTAAAATCATTAAGAACTGTTCCTTTTAACAGAGTGTACCGAATTCTTTATCATGATTGAGAATTATGTGTGATTCTCTTTCTTGGCTTTGCGTAAGGTTGCTCATCTTCTGAGACATCAAATATTTCACAGAGACATTATTCCAATGGGGTTGGTGTTTTTGTATATTTACCAATTTTTCAAATTTTAGTATGTGATTACTTAAACGAAGTGAGAAAAGTGACCTATGACCTTTGTTTTTAAAATATGAAAGATAATTCTCAATATTTATAGATGACTTGACCAAACTGTGTGTTCTTAACTTGCTGTTAGATAAATAGGAATCCCCTAAGGAATGCGTGAATTTTTATATTTGAAGTTTATTTACAGTGGAGTCATTACATTTTTTTGTGTTTACTATTTTCAAAGTTTGTTTTATTTAAACCAACCAACATTTTGACCAGAAATATTGATATTTGCTGCAAAAGCATGTTTAAGAATGAAATTTGTTGTGTTATCCATATATGACTTGTAATCAACTTATGTTTTTTATTGGTACTATTAGTGGGTATATATCAAGTTCTGCCTGACAGACCAAGTTTTCTTGCCTGGTCTTTCCTTGTGCTGACCATTCAAAGACACTGTTTCTTTTATTGTGTTTTCAAAAGATAACTACATTAATAACAACCAATTTGTACTTTACACCAATTCTGTCCTCCCACAGCTTACAGGTACTTCCTCGGCAAATAACATTATAATGCGGGGCACAATTGATGCTCTACAGCAGTCTCTACTTGTTTTAGACTGGGGGCTTGGTGTCCGGAGCTCGTCGACACATTTCCTCATGATACAGCACATTAAGTCAGTGTCGGGTTGAATTTGAAAACGAATAGTTACTTACGTAAATTACTGTAGGAGATTTAAGTGAGCTTTCCGACTTTATGCGTAGTTCACACACCCTAGAAACGAATAAATATACAGTTCAGTGTGTATGCTATAACGTGAGTATGCTTGTTGTAAGAGGCGACTTACGGGATCGGGTGGTCAGACTTGGTTGATGCATATCATCGGATGCTTATGATGTCAATCACTGGATTGTCTGGTCCAGACTCGATTATTTACAGATCGCGTAATACTAACAAACAAACAAAATTAAAAAAATAGTAATATAGACAAGATGTTGGTGACTGCGACAACGAAATTAGCCCAGTAGCACCAGGAAGTATAACTATGTTGGTCCCGTTGTTACAGAATGGCAAAATCAGTAACAATAACCTAGAGAACAACTTGTTTTCACTCACAAAGATCGCTGCATGTAGACTTATTTTAACAATGTTTTACATGTATCTGTTATTGTTCTCACACACTGGGCACGTAATGGATAGAAGTGAAAACGGATCAGTTTGTGTTACGTCAAAACGCCCCATTATCACCTGATGTCATGAGGGGCCGGGTGGAAGGAAGTCTCACCTTTTGCCATCCATCGTACTCACGCTTCAGGGCTCGTAGTGGATTCAAGTCAAAACGGACTAACACCAAAACGGGACCAGTGTGAATTACGTCAAAACGCCAAATCAAATTCCACATTTTAACAAGAGGACATTGTGGCAGTGCATGAAAGTTACTCCACCAATGTTTGCATACAGGCAATTGGCGTGGGTAAAAAACAATCAAGTAATGCCTATTTTAGTATCAACTGGCGCGATTTTGTCATGTAGTTTTTGTCGTTTGTGGGAAATTTGTTTTGACATTACATAGTGTTTCTCATTTCTTTTCAATTTACACTGGCATCAAACTAACTATACATCAGAAACTAATGAACAATTACATCCCCAAAGCCATATTTCTTTATTTAAATAGGATAATAAGGCACTTAATAATTGCCAGGTATGTATAAAATTAAACATCCCTTACTCTCTTTATTTGGCTCAGACTAATGCATTTCCTTTTATTATATTTGGAAAAACCAAAAGAAACAATGACAATAGTATAACTAAGAATGTGAGATAACTTTCAAAAAGTTTCTTCCATAACATACTTTTGTGAGTACATGGAGGTTATCATGACAGTGTTTTGGATTGGTGAACATCTTGTTTTCTGGCGTAAACTTTGTATTAAGCCAACCATGGGTATTTACTTTATTATTATTTACTAAAACTGTGATGACATTTGGTTCTTTTCCCATGAGGCCAATCTTCAGGTTATTTTGGTGACTATTCATCCTTTTCGTCAAAAACCATGTACTCATCGAGTGAAGTTTGAAAACAATAATAAAACTGTGTTTGTGGAGGACCAGTGGGAAAGCACACAAATACATGTATACAACAGAATGACAATCATGGAAACTGTCAGTGACCCGCTTTGTCACAAGTTTGTGGTACGATAGTCAAACAAGAACATTACAGACAGCATGGTGATATTTTTTGTGATATAAAAGTTGTATGACATCAAGTAGTCAGTACCACAAGTTGAAAGGTTGTTTCCTCATTTTGTTTAGTTTTGGTTTCACACAGGCTGATGAACCAAGGGAGACAACTTTTAAGGGCGGTAACTTTGGACGAAACTCGTGCTGTCATACCAAGGCCATGAAAATACTGGTTTTAGTTTTCATGACAGTGGAATATGACTTTTGAAAAAAAAAAAAACCTTTATAACTGCATATGTGTAATTTTTGCAGTGCTGTAACACTAAGAGCTGGCACCGATTTGACAAAAAATCCAGGTGAGCTACAGTGCTGTGGCAGAGAATTCTCATACTTGATACACTGATACCAAATGTAAGGCTGTCCCCCAGGCAGACACTGTACACGTTAGGACTTTTGTCTTGTAGGTTGATGACGATGAGTTAGATGCCAACTTAGATTGAAGACACTGATGAAAAACAAGATACAGTGAAGAATTTTCATAGACTGAATCAGAACGATCAAGGACAGATGGATGAGAGTGACACGGAGTGTGGAGGATGTACACCAGCAAAGTGCAGGAGGAAGCACAATGACGGGGACACGTCATCAGGCGGGGAAAACATGGAGCTGGCAGGTACTACCACGTACTGCCCTCAGGGAACAAGTGAAGGAGCAGGCAGGACTACGGAGGATGCAGAAAATATAGATGGTGATGAAGAGAGTGCCGACGAATATTTGTTTGATGACATCACAAATGAGGAAGAGGGGGAAGGAATAAGAGACATGTCACAGCTTGGAACAGGTGCTGCAGAGGTCAAACTCCAGACTGTTCAACAAGAGTCATACCAACTTGTAGAGAAAGGTTTGTATGAAGCAATTTCACTTTTAAACGTATCAATAATACACAAAAGCATCATTTGCGGGACGTTCATCACATTCCTCTTTACAGTGAAGTGAGGATGTTGTTTTAAGTTCCCACCATGTCAGTGGCTGTTAAAGACATTTAGGTGTGCCATGTGGAATTGAAGCATATGGATGGGACAATATTTTTCAAGATAGATACTAGTATTTTGAATTCCTACTCAATTACTGAAATTAACATGTGTTTTCCAAAGAGAAACATATCACCAATCGCATCGCAAAGGAGACCATAGTAAGATGTATCTGCCAGATAGTCCCGTTACTACATTAGAGTGTTCAGTGTTTACTACTGCATTAGCATTTCAAGTACTTACCATAGTGTGTATATTAGTTTCGGTAGAATCGTGTGGAACCTGAACGGCACAATCTTTTGTCCTAATGTTTAACTCACTATAACTGTGAGTCACCACAGCTAGGTTGGTGATAATAAACTTTTTGGGGAGTCTGTATGGAGCTACAGCTGCAAAACCGGATTTTTTTAATGAGTCTCAATATGTTTTACTTTAAAAAAACATCTCGCAATAATGTAAATTTTATGGCAGTCAATGTCTTTGTCAGCTGTATAGGATATAATATAATATAATTCAAACTGAATTGGAGACAATATATTTTTTTAGATATATTTTTCAAATAGCTGGAGATCCAATTGTGACACTAGCACAACACGTTGTGGGATGTTGTCAACAACCACAGGAAGAAATAGCGTCAGCACCAGAGCAACATCAAGGGACACAACTCCAACCAGCTTCAGTTGGTGATGTTGCTCAGACAACAAGTCAGACACAGCTGCCCACAAATACATCTTGTGTAGTTCCTAACACAACCAGTCTACAGGTCCGAACAACAGCAGCCCTGACACCAGCGTCCACATCTTCTCTCCTACCCAGAATACCAGGATCTGTTTTATCAGAGATACAGTCGTCCGGGCTACCTGTGGCACCAGTGACTGGTGATTCTCCTGTAGGTGAGTGCTGATAAACAGGTGCGTGACAAATATCTAATATCTTCAATAGGGTATTTTCAAATAACTTTGGTTTTTTAAGCTATTAGGCTATGGCAGTATTGCCTTCAAGTTTTTACAGGGATGTCATTAACCCTACACAACCACAAATCAAGGTCTAGCTCTGCTCAATTGCAGGTTTGCCACTGTCAAACAAGCATAACAAGACAATCACCATTTACGAAAATATGTAGGGGTTATCACGCGAGTGTGTTTGGGGATGGTAAATATCCAGAATTAGGAATAAGCAGTTCATTTAGCGAGCCTAGGCGAGCTAAATAGATAGTGTTTATTCCTAATTCTGGATATTTACTATCCACAAGCGTGATAACCTCTTTATCATTTAATGTCATTCTTTCATTCTGTGCTTTAAAATCGCTTTCCTGTCTAACAAACATTACAGAAACATTGAGTTTTCCTGAAATGCGCGCATTAATAATATTTATTACGTCACAGGGCAACTGATGTGTCAGTTGGACAGTAACAGTAGTCAATCGAGTTCGAACTAAAATCTATTCTTATACAGTGGCGAAGCAACATATACGCAAGACAACAATTGATTTTATTTTTTTACCTGTCTTTCGCGGCAATCTGTCGGCCTGTCCGCTAGAGTAACTGCCCTTTGTCAAAGGGAAGCTACTCTAGCCCTAGTCTATGAGACGTCACGACCACAGTTAGACGTTGGTGACAGTCGGCCTGTCCTGTCATAACGTTAAGAAGTACAGTCAGATGTACACACACAGACAAAACGAACCAAACTAACAATTCAAACATGTTTCGGCCAAATCCAACTGTTTTTCATTTGTGGAAAAGGTTTCAAGCCACAGAGGTCTACAAGAACAGATATGGCTAGTGATCCCGCTTAGCTATGCCTTGTGCCCTCGCAAAGTCGCTGGGAAATTTATATCTCAAAAGATGCCCAAACTTATAAAATGCCATAGCTACGTTACAGTAAGACACTGATTTTCAGTATATTAGACTGTTCTTTTGTTAATGATAGCAATTATCCTTGTAGTTTATACAGATTCCCATTGGTTCTTACTCGATCGCCGAATAACAAGGGCGAGGCCATGTTTGTTTATAAACACTGAAAGTAGTCCCTGCTTGACCTTTGATTTTTTGCATCTCTATCCGCATATGGCCCCAATGGATATCGTTTTTATCCGTTGTTTTATCCTGCAGTGAAACCTACCCATTATATGATAAAGCAACTTATATGCCGTAGCAGTTTGATGTCTGTTCATGACAGTTGTCAGTTTTCAGTATCACGTGAGGTATCTCAGTTCAAATAAGGAAAACAACCCTGACAACTTAAGTTATATGGTTCCTGTTACAGTCACCCAGTACAACCTTATCCAAGTACGGCAGCAGTTTGGAAATGTGACAGTCCAGGGCGCCAGGAATCTGAACATTGGCGGAACGCAGAACGTTAGTACACCTCAGACCCGCCCATTGACTGTTGCAGCACAGAAGATCAGGAGTGAGTTATCTAGATCCCTGTACTTGTTCTCACAATGATCGCTCAGCTGAGGCATATATATTTTGAAGTAAACGCTGGCTATGATAATTTTCATATTTGTTCCAACTGTCACCTCATGGACATAGTTTCTTTGGGCCCTTATAATGTATTTAAACAGTAATGACCACGTATTGTCTTCAGATAACGCCCGTTTTTGTGCAGGTGAATCAATCAAAATCATGTGCACAGCACTAAAGTGGCAAAAGTGATTTTCACGTGCAACTGGTCACGTGGCCAAAACTACCACACGTGTTTTCAACCATAATTCAGTCAATAAATGACAAAAAACACACAAGAAAACAAAAGTCTTTACGGCCATTTGTCATGCCACGCCTTCCAAATGTGCAACGTGAACGTGCCATCGGCATGTTGCAGACGGGAACGTCCGTAGCTGCAATTGCAAGGACGATGGGTTGTAGTCGATGGACTGTTTATGATTTACAGACGCGTCTACAGCAAACAAGTACCACCGCTGATCGCTCTCGGCCAGGTCGACCACGTGTGACATGCAGAGGATCGTCAGATTGTCTTACGTCACCTCCGTAACCGATTTTTGACGGCTACATCAACCAGAAATGAACTGTTTAGGGGTAGACTGAGTGCGAAATCTGTTCGAAACCGTCTTAGAACTGCTCACCTTCAAGCACGACGGTCATACTGCGGGCCGATTCTGACTCAATTACACAGACGTCAACGACAATTGTGGGCATAGCCACACTTAAGGAATTGGAATCAAGTTGTCTTCGGGGATAAATCCCGATTAAATCTTGGATTTGCTGATGGTAGGGCGAGGGTGTGGAGGCGCCGTCATGAACGTTACGCCCAGTGTTGTGTACAGGAAGTTGACAGATTCCGAGGCGGAAGTGTCATGGTGTGGGGTGCCTTCTGTGGCAATGCACGTTCCAGGCTTCCTGTCATCCGTGGCAACCTCAACGCTGCTGCTTACCGCGACCAGTTACTGGTACCACAACTTCTGCCTTTTATCGCAGCACATGGACCCGGTTTGATCTTCCAACATGACAATGCCAGACCCCACACAGCAATTTTGACAAGGAATTTCCTTCATGGACTGGCCGTCAAGGTCTCCCGACCTGAATCCCATCGAACACGTCTGGGATGCTCTTGGCAGAAGTCTGCGCACTCTCCAGAACCAACCACAGAATTTGCAAGATGTTGGGACCATTTTGCTGCAACAATGGCGTCGTCTTCCCAATCATGTGTTCACAAGCATCACAAGGTCCATGCGGAGGCGTTGTGTGGCAGTTTTCAACCCACATGGTGGCCATACACGCTACTGAACTTGTGTGCCATCAGATTCTCATGCTTGGGACTTATGATTTAAACTGTTGATGCTATTACCGTATACCGTAGGTGCTTGGAACAAATCATGGTTACCAACGTTAATTAAAATCCTTTTGGGGACATTAATGATTAAAAATTACCTTCTCTGATACATTTGTCCGTTGGATATCATATATGGGATTACTTTTAAAAATGTGAAGTTTTTAATTTGACTCAATATATTTTTTTTTGCTCTCTGTTCACTTCACACTATGTTACAATTCTACAGGACCATATTACAAATTGCAGCGTGTCCATATGATTTTGTCGTCTATATCACTCAGATCAAATGTAAGTTGGTAAGATGTGAGGTCGTATTTGTATCTGGTGGTACAACATATCAAGTAGAAACTCAGTACCTGGAAGATAATATCAACAAATACATATGAATCAGAATTTCTGTTCGGATTGGCTAAGTGGTAACTAGATAATTGTGCCAAGACGTTTACCTCAGGCTTCAGGTATATTAGTGATCGGATATCAGTCAATGACCCTTTCGCTGATTTAGCCACCTGAACTATAAACAAGAGAGACCAGTGAGAACATCTGGTCTGTTTTTCATATTCAGATCTATGAGTGAAGATTCTGAGTGACACAACACTGTCCACAAAACTGTATGGGGGATGACTTCAAATTGCCATGTTTAAAAATTCCCTTTAATGTCGAGTAGGATGCCTACTATTTGATAGTGATTCATAAACAGGTGATTGTTATACACAGACAGGATCATAAAGTGGACTGTTTCTTATGATTATCGAAATGGTTTTGTCACTTTAATTCTATATCCTGGTATTCTGGCTGCTTTGTTCATATGAAACTGTGTTATGATCCACAAGCAGAGTGAGCACTATTCAAACGTAGAGGTAAATGCAGAGGTATATTGGAACATCGAGAAATGCTGTGAAAATTGAAGGTGGCACATTCGATTTAGGTTTCGTGCAAACTATTGTTTGTATATCGACAGTATTCAACATTCACGGGATGTATTTAGTATTGTCCATTCTCTTGGTGCAATTATGTGATATGTTACTGATTTTTTACAGTCCTTGTTGAGAGGATTTTATTTCATCTAATGTTTGTAAATATTGTAGTCACAGTGTGGATGAAATATTGTTAAAATGTTTAACCCACTCACTCACTGACACATTTCAACATCAGGGATCTCAAACTGTATGTGATTGATAATGGCCACACTTTATTCCTTTAATTGAGGACAAATTAAAAAAATGGCAGACTGTATACTTTTACAGATATTATTCTATAGTTTATAGATACATCAAATGTGCCTTGTTTTCACAGAAAGAACGGAATCCAGGATTCAGTCAATGACTAAAGACATGGTGGAGACAGAAGCCCTCCAGAAAGTGAAGGAGAAGCTGGACAGAGGAGCAACATGGGTGACAATTAAAGGAAGGCCAGGAGAGGGGAAGTCTACAATAGCCTACATGGCCCTCAGCGATCAGCACACTCAGGGGAGACAAGTATATCAGGTGGTGTCACCAGAAGAGTTCAATGAGGTCATAACGGCCAGCATTAACCCTGTCATTATGTTAGATGACATATTCGGTGATCTAGAATTTGATGTAGCAGAATGGGCCAAGTGGAGACCAAGTCTACGACCTATTGTGGATATGAAGGATCCAGACAAGACCACTGAAGAGGACTCTATGGATAAGTCCACTAAAAGTAAAAAAGAGAGAACAAAGGATGAGCAAACAATTCTGAAGAGAACAGCACCAAACAAAGGCAAAACGATCATTATCCTCGTAGGCCGTGACTATGTGCTGAAATCCTCACTGGCAGACTTGGGAAGGATGGCAGATTACATATCTAGTGCCCAGTATGTGGTGGAAGTTTCCTCACAGAGAGACTCTAATGAACGAAGGAAGATATGGCATGTTCATGCCAAAACAAAAAACATAGACTTTGATGAGTCAACCGTGTCTCGGATATGTCAATCTGACTCTCCACACGGCTTTCCCCACGTGTGTAAAATGTTTGTCACATCATGTGAAAAGGATCAGACTCAGCTTCCAGTAGATACTTTTTTTCAAGCGCCTCTAGCATTCCTCAAACAGACCCTAGATAAATTTCTTAAAGATGAGATAAAGGTTTCCCTGTTCAAGGCTATGATTAAGAGGGATGGAAAGATTAGTGGAAAAGAGTTGGAGGAGGAGGATGCCCATGGATACAAATACATAACAGCTGCTGATGATTTGGTTGGATCTTACCTCAAGAAGGAAGATGACACATACATGTTTGACCATCCCTCTATATATGACAGTGTCGCTCTAATTCTCAGCACGAAACAATCAATGTTTGTCATCGATTTTTGCAGTTTGTCATTCATCCATCAGCGACTTCTTCTTAAAGCCTCCACAAGACCAAGGGAAAACGTTCCTGGTGAGACAGATCTTGTTGCAAACATCTCCTGGAACTATGCTAAACATCTAGCAAGAAGATTTGCAACTGAAATTTCAAGGAGCAATTTGTTGCATGTCTTATCGCACCAGACATGTTGTAATCCAGAGTTTATAGACTTGCTAATGGGCTGCCTGAAAACACAGTGTCACATGTCTGTTTCTGATATTCTCAAACTAGCTGATAACTCTTCAAAACAGTCATTTTGTGAATTAATTTCTAGCAGCAAGTCACATCATCTCATCAAATTTATTATGGAGAAAGAAAACAGAACATTCAGCCAGATTGAACTGAGAGACATTTTACTTGGGGTGTGCAAGAATGCTGCTTGTAGTGTACTGACCTATATCAGTGAACACCATCAGCTTGAGATAGATGCTAGATATGGTATGGAGAAGAAAACGCCACTTATGTTGGCAGCAGAAACCGAAGACAGTGTGTTTGTTAATCAAATTTTGGCCCTTCAGCCTAACCTGAATGCACGAGACAGTCACGCTCAAACAGTCTTTCAATACCTTTGCGCAAATGGCCTTACATCAGCTGTGGAACATTCAATCAACATGGGCGTGGATGTTAATGAGCATTATTCTCCACGTTTTTATATTTTCCGACGACCATATAACCAACCCCCTCTATACCTTGCCATAGAAAGTGGTCATGTTGGGGTGGCGGAACTGCTGCTGCAGAAAGGATGTGATATAGATAAACAGAGAGGTCTTAAATGTGCATTGAATAGCCAGAACACGCATATGACGCGTTTTCTTTTAGACAGAGGAGCACAGGTTGACAGTAATGTTGTGTGCATTGCTTGTGGGTTGACAAACTTTCGTATCATCAAGATGTTGTTTGAGGAGGGTGCAACAGTTGACATGATTTCATCTGATGGCGATACTCCTCTTCACAGTGCATGTGGAAGAAACCCTAATGTTGTCTCATTTTTATTGGAGAAAGGAGCAAATGTGAATGTACAGAACAATACAGGTAAGACACCACTTCATACAGCAGCAGGATGGGGTGGATCTGCAGAGTGTGTTGAAGTGTTACTGAAGGCTGGAGCTAATGTGAATGTACAGAACAATCAAGGTCACACACCACTTCATACAGCAGCATGGGGTAGATCTTCAGGGACTGTTGATGCGTTACTGAAGGCTGGAGCTAATGTGAATGTACAGAACAATACAGGTGACACACCACTTCATACAGCAGCATGGGGTGGATCTTCAGGGAATATTGATGAGTTACTGAAGGCTGGAGCTAATGTGAATGCACAGAATAATACCGGTGACACACCACTTTACACAGCAGCCTTGAATGCACCTCCAGAGTGTATTGATGTGTTACTGAAGGCTGGGGCTAATGTACATGCCACGAATAATACAGGTGACACACCACTTCATGCATCAACAGAATTTACAGAAACTAGGTGGGTATCTTCAGAGTGTGTTGAATTGTTACTGAAGGCAGGAGCTAATGTGAATGCACAGAACAATAAAGGTGACACACCACTTTATGACGCAGTATGGGATGACGACTTTACAGAGCTTGTTGATCCGTTACTGAAAGCTGGAGCTAATGTGAATGTACAGAACAATGGAGGTTACACACCACTTCATGTAGCAGCAGGGAATGGATGTACAGAGTTTGTTGATTTGTTACTTAAGGCTGGGGCTAATGTACATGCCACGAATAATACAGGTGACACACCACTTCATGCATCAACAGAATTTACAGAAACTAGGTGGGTATCTTCAGAGTGTGTTGAATTGTTACTGAAGGCAGGAGCTAATGTGAATGCACAGAACAATAAAGGTGACACACCACTTTATGACGCAGTATGGGATGACGACTTTACAGAGCTTGTTGATCCGTTACTGAAAGCTGGAGCTAATGTGAATGTACAGAACAATGGAGGTTACACACCACTTCATGTAGCAGCAGGGAATGGATGTACAGAGTTTGTTGATTTGTTACTTAAGGCTGGGGCTAATGTACATGCCACGAATAATGCAGGTGACACACCACTTCATGCATCAACAGGATTTACAGAAACTGGGTGGGTATCTTCAGAGTGTGTTGAAGTGTTACTGAAGGCTGGAGCTAATGTGAATGCACAGAACAATAAAGGTGACACACCACTTTATGACGCAGTACGGGGTGACGACTTTTCAGAGCTTGTTGATCCGTTACTGAAGGCTGGAGCTTATGTGAATGTACAGAACAATGGAGGTTACACACCACTTCATGTAGCAGCAGGGAATAGATGTACAAAGTTTGTTGATTTGTTACTTAAGGCTGGAGCTAATGTGAATGTACAGAATAATACAGGTGACACACCACTTCATGAAGCAGCAAGTCATGGATATACAGAGAGTTTTGATGCGTTACTCAAGGCTGGAGCTAATGTGAATGTACAGAATAATACAGGTAACACACCACTTCATACAGCAGAAGGACGGAAATCTAGAGAGTGTGTGGATGCTTTACTGAAGGCCTGAGCTAATGTGAGTGTAATAATAAAGGTGACACACCACTTCGTACAGCAGCTGCATGGTATGGATCTGCAGAGTGTGCTACTGAAGGCTGGAGCTAATGTGAATTTACAGAACAATACAGGTGACACACCACTTCATAAAGCAGCAAGGAATGGATCTGCAGGGTGTTGATGCGTTGCTGAAGGCTCGAACTAATGTGAATGTACAGAATAATGCAGGTGACACACCACTTCATACAGCATTATGGGATAGATAGAGTGTGTTGGTGTGTTACTGAAGTCTGGAGCTAATGTGAATGTACAGAACAATACAGGTCAAACACCACTTCATAAATCAGCAGCATCAGCAAGGGATGGATATACAGTGTGTGTTGAAGTGTTACTGAAGGCTGAGGCTCAAGTGATTGTACATAATAATAAAAGTGACTCAGCACTTCATACGGCAGCAGGACGGGGATCTAAAGAGTGTGTGGATGCGTTACTGAAGGCTGGAGTTCATGTGAATGTACAGAACAATACAGGTGACACACCACTTCATGCAGCAGCAGCAAGGGATGGATCTGCAGCGTGTGTTGATGCGTTACTGAAGGCTGGAGTTCATGTGAATGTACAGAACTATACAGGGGACACAGGACATCAAAAACCTTATCAGAGATATGCCACTGTTATTATAAATAATTGGTAATAATATATATTATTCCAGTGTCATTGCTGAGCGAAGGTTTTGGATGTCGGACAGTTTGTGACATAAGCAAGCTCTTTTCCTTTATTCCTTTGTCTCACTTCATTACTGTTGGTGTGAGGGGTTTGTGCCATTGATGGATGGTTGTTTTGTGGTTTAATACCGCAATCAGCAATATCCAAGCTGTTTGATGGCGGTCTGTAAATAATCGAGACTGGATCAGACATTATAAGTATTGACATCATGAGCATCGATCTTCGCAATGGGCGATCTTGTTCAATTCATCTTCCCTTCACTTACCCGGCTGGTGCACTGACTTGGACGGTTCAACCTTAAACTGACGGCGCATGTAGTACGAGCGGTACATGTTAATATCACACCTGTAGACAGTTGACGAGTATAGCCTTCATCTCTAGCGGCAACGGTCACGCTGGTGTATAGACAGTATTTCTTTTAGTCTAAACAAAGATCTATCTATTTTCATGTCCGGAAATAGATGTCCGTGATTCACTGGTACATTAGGGATGACCAAGACTGGTTACATCGTATCGTTAACCACTTGATAGCCATTCGAAGCGAGGCAGTGAGATCAGCTGGTCGTTCATTCAAGGTCGCTTTGTTGATAGTTTGCAATCGGTACTGAAAGTGATTGCCTTTGATGTTTGAATATCACACTTTTAGAAATGAAGTAGATCTTCATTGTATACATACCCATATCTATGTTGTAGTATTGCCAATCACGCTACATCATATGCATGCATTTCGGTACAGCAGTAAGGCAATGTAATACGCGAAATGTGAAGGTCTTATGCAACGTAAAGTTGATAGTTGCCTAAATGTTGTGAATATCGACAGCAGTACATGTAAGTATTTGTCAGGTATATAACTTAGAGAAGTGTGACATGTTTGAAAGAAAATGCAAAATAAAACAGGCACTGACGAATAATGTCATCAGCTAAATAACACAATACAATGTTCACTATAAAAGAAATGAAAATCACTGAAATCGATTTTGATACTTAAGGGTAAGTAGGTGCATGTTGCATAAAAAATATTTTTTATGGATGAATGGTGGCTGTATGGGATTGCCAAATACTACCGTGATTCTATTTCTGTATGATAAATAAAAGCGGGGATCAGGGGCAGAGCCAAAAAGAGTTTATAACTTGGACTCATTTAAGATCCCCACGGTATAACCATATGTACAATTGCTGAGTAGAATGAGAGGAATGCAGGTTCTTGCATCCATTATATGCACATTCTCTGTCGGAAAATAGATTGTTGCATGCATATATAGCAACCATGTGATTTTGATTTAATATGTTCGATGCCATTCCTTTTCATCTGGAACTTTTTCAGTCATTCCTTTTAAATATTGTTTCAACTTCAATAAACTTGATTTGCATATAAAAAAACTTTGCCTTTGTTTTCATTTATGTTCCACTCCTGATAGCCATGTGAAGTTATATTAATACTGTGATGTTCCGCAGCTTTTCCTTTTAACCGTTACTGCAGCACAGTGACAAAAGTAATTTCCCGATGGATGTTATTTTACTGTTATGTACCCCATGGAGACCCGGGTAAGAATTAATCATAATCACGTTGCTGTTCGTTTTGAAAACAACTCACTTACTTGACTGATAGATGCCACTGATCGAGGCTCGTGCTATCAACCACTGGTTTGAAGCACCAAGACTTGATTGTTAACAGGCAGCCATCATGAGTCTGGAATACTGCCGACTGTGAGGTGAAACAGCAAATAAAAAACAGGCAGAGTGCCGTAGTAATGAGTGATTATATCATTTCACCACATGCAGTATACAGTATACCACGTGTCGCGTGCGGTCACGACGCTCTGAAAGTAGTTTATCAATCATCTTTTAGGCAATAAAGATAAACGACAAAGGTATATCTTGGTGAACATCTTAGTGATTCATCGATGCAGTAACGTCTTATCAGTTACCAGTTCAAACAAATCGTAATATTTATTCCCTGTTGGCTACAACCCTGTCTAAGCACAAGTGCGTGGTAGACGTAACAACGGTGCTTACGCAGCCGATAGCGAGCTCCAGTTTGGCTTCTAATGTTCTATTTAGGGGTCACAAAGTGCACCTGCAGAAATTGTTTTGCTATGATGTAGTTTATCGTAAAGATAACGTTCAACCTCACGTTCTGTGTATAATGTTTAAGAAAATAAACTTTTATCTAACTTGGATTTGGGCGATAGCGGGCAATGTAATGTTCTCCAGTCCTCTTCAGTCAGTTTTGGAAAGAATTTTGTTTCCAGCTTTGCCGTTTTGTGATATGTAACTTGTATTTTGTGAATTGTGTTGAAATAGTCCTACAGTGTAGGCTCAATCATAATCCTTCGAATTCTGTCACAATGAACCATGTAAACTTTGCATGTTCGTTCCGCGAAATATATAATCAGTTGCATTTACATATTCATATAGTTTATTGTCTAAACTCCTTTCAGTACAAATTACAAGTTAAAATAATTACAGTTTGTTTTTCTTCGTTTTGTTCCAATTCTCAGCGAAAACACAAATTGAGTTCTTGTGATCGAAATGTGAACGAATGAATGTAGCGAAAGTTGTCCCGTAGATGTCAGGTCTCACAATCAGCCAATCAAATAGCAGCACCTGGGCTTACAAATAGGGTTGCATATGAAGATAGTGTAGTATGTGTGAGTAAGGTAGGTTTAACGCCATATTGCAGTATTCCAGTTATATCACGGCGTGTCAGCTTACTGTGGGAGGAAAGCCCGAAGTGATAAAGGTCTTAGACGTTTACTACTTTGGTGAAATCACGAGAACCTGACAGACATAGAATCATAATACGGGCGAACCGAGATTCCAAGCCACAATCACGGGTTTTCTTGCGTGCCCAAGGGAGGCAACTCTGCACCGCGAATTGCGGCGCCAAAGACGACTGAGGGACCCGTGTAGGTTGCAAATATACAGATAGTGTTGCATATGCAGCAAGTGTTATATTGTTAGTGAACGTAAAGAGTTGTGTTTGTGAATATAACGTTGATTATGTAGACAGTGTTTATATACTCACAGAAAAAAATAACTGTGCTTCATATAAAATTAAAATAAAGTTATTCTGAAATTAAATAATGCATCATTCAATACATATTTGTGAAGACATCTCCCCGAGTTAAAGGTCGTATTTCATAATTTGCACGTGCATGTTAATGGACGGTGTACAATTTGGGTGTTTGCGTGTTTGTTAGGAGCGTTAGTTTGATACTCACACACGTGTCTTAAACATTTGTTTCACCATCGATAAATAACGCTTGCTCAGTCCTGAAGATCAACACGACGTTGCCAGATATTTTAATGTTCATCGAAACACAATATCATCTCTTTGGAGGTCAACAAGACAACCATATTCGGTTGGTGCATCTACGGAATCGATACCAAACTGCCACAGTAACAGCTTGGACAATTCCTGGGTTGAGACAAATTCGTTGCAGAAATGTGCGCAAGCAGTCGAGGGAGCATGACATCCAGTCCCGACATCCAGCGGTTCGCCCATTTTCGTCACGTCACCGTCAGCCACTCCTAGCTTGGTGCAGACAGCATATGTGGTTCGGAAGACAAGGCTGGGACAGTATACTGTTCACAGATGAGTCCAGGATTTCATATTGACAGCTCTGGTGGTCATGCACGAGTCTACAGGCGTCCAGGGGAATGTTAATTTAGCGACGCTTGCGTCACTCAATGTCGTCAGTTCTAGGATGGGACCGTTAATGATATGTTGAATGGCGAACGCTACAACGACGACAACGATCGAAAACTTGTTCTACCTTTTTTCAAATGCAGGTACGTAATGTCACTTTGCAGTAGGATAATGCCCACTCACATGTTGCACGTGTTGTGACATATTTTTTGAGGCAGCATGTGATTGCTGATCTGCCCTAACCGGCTGTTTCTTCAGACCCATCCCCAATAGAACATGTCTGGGATTAAATGGAGCTACGCCTACGAAAGGATCAGAACCAGCCGCTAACGCTATTTGAATGATCAAATATTATATCGTTATTTTGTTATCACATTAATACCACTTTACATGACGCACAGTTACTTTTTCCCCGTTAGAAAATCAAGTAACTGTACGAAGTGTTATACAATGACAGCAATGCAGAGTCGCGTGTCCTTCACAACGACAACGTGTTAAGTGTGAGTCGGGTTTAACGACGCTTTGAACAGTATTCCAGTTATATCACGGCGTGTCAGTTTGATGTGAGAGGAAAGCCCGAAGTGATGCAGGTCTCAGACGTTAACCACTTCGGTGAAGCCCACGAGCATGGGTATGGTGCTGACAAACCTAGAAACATAATTGGGGCGAACCGGGGATCGAACCCTCAATCATAGGTTTCTGGCGAATAGAAACATCGGGATTCGCACCACATTTATAGGAAACAACTTGTTAAGACAACCCAGGCGTATTCGTTACTAGTTTGCTGAGGAAGTAGATTCGTTGACCTTGTTCACTGGGATGGCACATGAATCGTGACAATTTCCGTATCAGCCATGCCATCAGAGTAGTGTGACATATACCAGTTGTAACCATAGCAAACGACATCATTTCAAGTGAGAAGAGCTATTGCTTAATGCTATCATTCAAAATATTAGAGTGAGTGAGTTGGGTGTAACGCCGCTTTTAACAGTATTCCAGTTATGTCGCGGAGTATCTGCTTAATGTGGGAGGAAAGCCCGAAGTGATGCAGGTCTCAGAGGTTTACAACTTCGGTGAAACCCACGAGCAGGGGTATGGTGCTGACAAACCTACAAACATAATTGGGGCGAACCGGGGATCGAACCCTCAATCATAGGTGTCTGGCGTGCCCAAGGGACGCAACTCTACACAGCGAATCGCTGCGCCTTAGACGACTGGGCCACCCCTAAACTATAAGTGGTATCACAAATCACATATGCCAGTTGTGACAAAAGTTACAATCAGCAGCAGCACAATGTTACCACTTGAATAGGTGCCCCACATGTCAGCCCGTCTGCCTACAACCGTCAATACGTCCCTGTATACGGAATTTGGATATGTGCTGTGGAAATGTTTGTTTTACAGGAAATTTAATTAGAGTGAGTGAGTTGGGTATAACAACGCTTTTAACATTTTTCCAGTTATATCACGGTGTGTCGGCTTTATGTGGTAGGAAAGCCCCAAGTGATGCAGGTCTTAGACGTTTGCCACTTCGGTGAAACCTACGAGCACGGGTATCGTGCTGACAAACCTAGAGACATAATCGGGGCGAAGCTCGATTCGAACCAACAATCAACTCTGCACAGAGTGATGAAAAATGGCTTCAGTCATTGTCCCATATCATGAATTGAGCCCTGTCCTTCGGCGTTATGATCGATTGTTTAACCACAAGACTATCGGCGCGCATCTTTTCATCAGTTGATAACTAAGACATCAGTACATTGAGGCCCTAATTTACGCTAAATTGTAAGTATTCCAGGTGAATCATAATAGGGATACCATGTTACACGCTTTAATGTCTTACGACAGCTGGTACATGTATTCCCAGATCGATATATGCAGCGGGTGTGTGAGAGAGGGGCCGTGCTAAAACATGTAAGTGACAGAGTGTAGCCAACCGGGTGAATCGATAAAACATGGGTGGTATACACGTACGAGTTACCTCCCTTTAAACTTTTCAAACATGTTTATCTTGCTGTCAGAGCTGCTTTAATGAGTTTCAGCCATAACATGGCGTGTCTGCGTTGTACTGGAGTAAATGTAAACATATACATCATGATTACAGGATCTATGCATGCATAAGGGACGCAAAAAAAAAAAGTAACTGTGCGTCATGTAAAGTGGTGTTAATGTGATAACAAAATAACAATATAATATTTGATCATTCACCTCACTCACACATACTACACTATCTTCATATGCAACACTTTTTGTTAGACCAGGTGCTGCTATTTGATTGGCTGATTGTGAGACCTGACTTCTACGGGACAACTTTCGCTACATTCATTCGTTCATATTTCGATCACAAGAACTCAATTTGTGTTTTCGCTGAGAATTGCAACTAAACGAAGGAAAACAAACTGCAATTATTTTAATTTGTTATTTTTACTGAAAGGAGTTTAGACAATAAATTATATGAATATGTAAATGCAACTGATTATATATTTCGCGGAACGAACATGCAAAGTTTACATGGTTCATTGTGACAGAATTCGAAGGATTATGATTGAGCCTACACTGTAGGACTATTTCAACACAATTCACAAAATACAAGTTACATGTCACAAAACGGCAAAGCTGGAAACAAAATTCTTTCCAAAACTGTCTGAAGAGGACTGGAGAACATTACATTGCCCGCTATCGCCCAACTCCAAGTTAGATAAAAGTTTATTTTCTTAAACATTATACACAGAACGTCAGGTTGAACGTTATCTTTACGATACACAACATCATAGCAAAACAATTTCTGCAGGTGCACTTTGTGACCCCTAAATAGAACATTAGAAGCCAAACAAGCTCGCTATCGGCTGCGTAAGCACCGTTGTTACGTCTACTACGCACTTGTGCTTAGACAGGGTTGTAGTCAACAGGGAATTAAGATTACGATTTGTTTGAACTGGTAACTGATAAGACGTTACTGCATCGTTACATCACTAAGATGTTCAACAAGATATACCTTTGTCGTTTATCTTTATTGCCTAAAAGATGATTGATAAACTACTTTCAGAGCGTCGTGACCGCACGCGACACGTGGTATACTGTATACTGCATGTGGTGAAATGATATAATCACTCATTACTACGGCACTCTGCCTGTTTTTTATTTTGCTGTTTGACCTCACAGTCGGCAGTATTCCAGACTCATGATGGCTGCCTGTTAACAATCAAATCTTGGTGCGGCAAACCAGTGGTTGATAGCAGGAGCCTCGATCAGTGGCATCAATCAGTCAAGTAAGTGAGTTTTTCAAAACGAGCAACAACGTGATTATTATTAATTCTTACCCTGGACTCCACGGGGTACATAACCACAGAGAAATGTAGGGTATCCAGACAGTGATATATTTTCACAACTTCACGTACAAGGGGAAGTGACCTACTTTTATACGGAAATATCATCGAGCGAAACTAAATTTTTGAAGCTTTACAGACAAATTACAAATTGTATCAACTCAGTATTAACTCAACACGCTGGTGACTATGTATCTGTTTTTCATGGTGTCTGGAGGGATATATGTGTGTGGTATGTATCGGTCTTCACAACATAATTTGGCATTATATTGAACTGTGCTTAAATTCGTATTTTGCATTAATAATTCGCAAAATTTACAATTTATATCAAATGTTAATAAGCATAAGCTTAATCATTATTATTTGTTCTGTGTGCAGGTCTGTCCTCTGTGACAGCTGACTACCCACACACCGTCACACGTGTTGGCGACGATGTTAATATAACCATGAACCCAGCTAATGTCAGCAAAACATATTTCGTATGGAGGAATGGTTCGATAAAACTGTTAGTGGTCGTGCCTAAGTCACACCGTGTAGAGGTACTCAACAGCAGTCACACCGGCTACATGACCAGGATCAGATACACAGGGGAGGACTCATTATCACAGACCGGACAGCTGAGGTTTACCATCTACAATGTTACTGTACAGGACGCTGGTTCTTACTCATGTCAAACAACCAGTCATAAGATGGTACCTGGATGTAGACAGGTCCTCGTTGTATCACGTAAGTATTACGTGTGATTAACAGAAGAATATTCCAAGAAATGAAAGTGCATTAAGCTGCATTGCGGTAATAAATACACAATACCAGAAAGTAATCACTGGTAGCAGACCCTCTATTGGGAAGAAAGTAAAACCGTTAGAAGTATAAAGATAGGAGTGGTATATTACTTTTTAATGTTTCATACACCTTTGGTCAGGAGGGTTCAAGTATTTCGCAAGGCAGCTCATGTTCGTCACATTCATCACTTGTGCCTCGCAGTTGTGTCACGGGAAATGTGCCATGGGAATTATCACTTTCATTTGTAATTTTAAGATTTCAAAACCTCCTGCCATTGGCTACAAAGGAAATTCCATGGCATAACATAATGAAGAAAAGAACTGAAACAATTTAATTTGAGTAAAGTGTAATGTTGGAATACTGACATGATTTGGGGTAATACCCTCAACGGTTGTTGGTGATAAAATATAGATGAAACGAGGTTCGAATATTACAGTATAATGGTCAAGACATCATGATATAACATTGTTTATTTGAACTCCATTTACTAGATATATAAAACGACACAATTCTATGGTCCTGGTTGACTGGTTTATTTTGAAATATTAATATTTTAACAGAGAAGCCGACCACACCAAACATCACAGGACCTCCCTCAGCTGTATCAGGTGAGAATGTCACCCTGACATGCTCCTCCTCCTCCCAGAGTCTGCCCCCGGACCACCCCCCACTGAACATGACCTACACCTGGATGAGGAACAGGACCCTGCCGGAATCTGGTGACGGGTCTCACACAGGCGGAGATGTCCTGACAATAACCCACATCAGCAGAGAAAACCAGGGATACATCTACACCTGCCAGGCTGTGGAGGAGGGGCTGGAGTCTGACTGGAGTCACGGACATGTACTGGAAGTTCAGTGTGAGTAAGAACTTACCTTGTTTAAGGTATGAGAACGAAGTATCTTATCTTTCCAACTGTGGTTCTGAGCTACAGTTTTGTGAGAACTGTATTTTCAGAAGCATTGTGCATTGTTCATAATAACGTTTATGTTCGGAAGTATTTTCAAAGTATGTCGGCGGGTCGTGTCGGGATAATAGACAACAAAGTCAAAATCAGCTGTGAAAAGTTTCAGCTTCATATTCATTGCAGTTTCAGAAGGTATATAGAAAATTCATGATCACTATACAAATATGTTCACGGCACCTGGATATGTTGTCTAGGGTTTTAAATATCAATGCAGACTGAAACTTTACTGTCAGCATTGATGTTCATATATTTCCAGCATATATACACAGGAAAAAATACAAACACTAAGTTATATTGATTGCACGAAATGTGATGTCATCACAAGACGAAGCATACATATTTATCAGTCTGGTAATTTGAGAGATGTTTACGGTGATGTGAGGTGAGGTGAAATGGGGTTTAACGTCGCGTCCAAGATTATTGTACTTATATAGCGACGTGCATGGACGTGTGTGTGTGTGTGGCTGCTTGTACTAGGCCGGACTGATGCCGATTTATATTGCTAGCCCACTGAGATACCATGCCGCAGATTAACATGAATACCCCAATCAGACTCAGTATACTGACTCCGAGCCGACCTGTCCTTATTTTAAGCCCTTAATGCCGAGCGCCTGACGGGGTAACAACAAGTACCATCTTCTAACGTCTTTTGGTATGACGCGGCCGGAGATCAAAGCCCGGACCTTCCGCTCTACCACTTGACCACGGAGGCGGTCTAGAGATGTTTACATTTTTAGATGAGTTATGAGCATGGTAAAGCACAAATCCAAAATCAAGGAAAAAAAAAACATGTGAACCATTAACCAACTAAACATATAGCCAATACCATGACATGTTAAACGAACATTGCTGAATAGCATATAGTGAAACCTCAGTCCAACCTCCATTGAGCGATATCTCGAGGTACATATTCCATATTCATACACCATTTATGGCCGTTAACAATTTAAATGTAGTCTCAACAACAATATATTAATACAAGGAGACGGCGTTTTTAATGGAACTGTTTTAAGAAGCATAATTTAAAATATGGTATACTGTTGTTCTTAGCATATCTATTGCACGTGTTGAAAATCTAGGTAGAAAGGATGTATTCTAATTCACAATGGCTAAGTTACTATGCTAAATCGTCCTTTCTACAGACCGATGTAGTGGCCCTATAAAACTAGAGCTTGAAATATTCTCTTTAAACACCTTTCATTTACCTTCTCAGGTATGCAAACTTTCCATTGTAAACCACTCCAGACACGACTTATCTATAAGATCTGAAATAAATCTTGTCACTGAACATGTGACGCCAATGACGCAAGTATCTGACGCTAATGACGCCGTGCTCTTCCTTTGACGCTTGTGATAGGCGTGATGGCAGTCACTGGGCCACGATATATCAATCTTTCAACTTTCAATCGATTGAAAGCGTCACTGTAAACCACGGCCATGCCACATTAACACACACCCGCGTTGAAAATGCAAATTCCGTAACAAAATAAACATGTATTAGATCATAAGCAAACTTATATCTCTTACCTAATCTTGACTTGTCAGTTGTGCGCTAATGTTATTATTTATCGCCACGTTTACTCCTGTTTCAAAAGCAACAGTTTTCCAGTACGCTATGATACATGCTTTGTACATTTTTTTCTGAGAATTCTGAGAACACTTGTATACATTCTATCTGGAAGATATCCTTGAAGGTACCATCAGATATGAACGCTATATGCACTGTTGCTAATCACCAGTTAAACGATCCTTTTTTTGTTAGTGTAAAATTGTATAATGGGCTTCGTCCGACGTCCGTTGTCCACAGGTCGGTCCGTCTGTTAGCAATGAAACATATTAAATGCATGTTCACATCTAGGTTGTACATCCGCTTGCTGATTGGAGGTTCGACAAATTCAAATGGCCACCGCATCAGTGCATTTTCAATTTAGGTAAAAATATAATATTAGTGCAAATCTCCTCTCCTCAGAAAACTTTGGATATATTCCTTGGAACACTCAGGAGGATCCGTCTTAAACATGAGTGAGTATGGTTTTACGCCACTTTTAGCAATATTCTAGCAATATCACGGTAGGGGACACTAGAAATGAGTTTCACACATTGTACCCATGTAGGAATCGAACCCGAGTCTTCGAGGTGACGAGCGAAGGCTTAAACCACTAGTCTACCTCACAACCCGTCTTAAACATGAAATAAGATCTTGTCATTGCACATGATACAACGAAGTCATTTGTAAAATGTTGTCTCCAATTTTGTCTATCACATACGTACTTACCAAATAACTCTTAAGCAACACTACATATGTAAAACTGATTATTCTGTAATAAGATGGGTTGACTGTCAAGGTCAAGGTCATCATGCAAAGTGTGTATAACCTCAATATTTTATGATCGGGGTTTCCTCAGAAACACTGACCTTAATTGATCGTGAAAATTACAGCGTTTCCTCTTTTTCAACCCTTCACTGTACCTCTCCTTTTCATACATCCTTCCAGGGCCCAGTCGTCTAAGGCACCGCGATTTGCTGTGCAGAGGTGATTGTCGTTTCGAATCCAGGTTCGCCCCGATTATGTCTCTAGGTTTGTCAGCACGATACCCGTGCTCGTGGGTTTCACCGAAGTGGTAAATGTCTGAGACCTGCATCACTTCGGTCTTTCCTACCACATAAAGCCGCCACACCGTGATATAACTGGAATACTGTTAAAAGCGTTGTTATACCCAACTCACTCACTCATCCCTCCTTCCCCATCCTACCCCTCCCCCTTGTACAATATTGGCCCCGCCGTCACATGTGTATTTCCAGTAGTCTCACACGTACATGTCACAGAAACAAACTTCACATGTTTATCTCGCTATTCACACATATATTACAAAACTGTACGCGTACATCACATTATTTAGGACCAGAAGGATCCGCTGTTGTGTGCAGTAGCATTTTCCGTTTAACTAGTGATACAGTGTTTTCATTTTCATTCATTTCAACTTTCTCTAAACCCACAGAGGTCATTAATCATTTAAACAGGTAATATTGACTATATTCTGATGATGTGACATCACGTCAATGTCATTCTTGAGATTCTTTCAAATGGCAAAGCGTTTCTGTTCATTCAAAATCAACTGAACAAAGATCTGTATTAAAGACAGAAATCGATTGTTTATTTACTACCTAATTCGACAAACGAAACTGTTCCGATAACTCGTAAGATGTGCAACAATGTTACTGAAGTTCACCACATTTAGAAATTAAAGTGACTGCTTTTTCCATATGTTATATATCGGAAACATTAGAATCCTAAACAGTGCTTTTGTTATTTATTAAATGTTCCAGCACTTGAGGTTACTAAAGCTGGTGTCGCTCCCATCGTCGTGGGTTTCACCGAAGTGATAAACGTCTAAGACCTGCCTTACTTCGGGCTTTCCTACCACATTAAGCTGACACGCCGTGATATTACTTGAATAATGTTAAAAGCGGCGTTATACCCAACTCACTCACTCACTCACTCACTCACTCACTCACTCCTCCTTCCCCATTCTACCCTTCCCTCTTGTACAACATTGGCCCATGTCACATGTGTATTTCCAGTAGTCACACACATGTCACAGAAACAAACCACACGTTTAATTCGCTTTTAACACATATATTACAAAAGCAGACTGTACGCGTACATCACAGTATTCAGGATCAGTATGAACCGTTATCACGTGCAGTAGCATTTTCCGTTGCAAGCTGGTGATACAGTGGGGAACTACTGACCATAGTACATCAAACATTCCAGATGGACCTGACCAGATACAGTTTAACGGTGCAAGTGGCAGGCTAAAGGCAGTAGAAGGTGACCCTCTCACAGTGAGATGTTCTGCTGACTGTCACCCCGCCTGCACTGTGACCTGGTGGGACACATCCAGACAGGAGGTGATCACGGGACAGAGGGAGGCTGTGTTGTATATACCAGCTGTAGACAGATCTGTGTCTGGACAGTACACGTGTCACGTCAACAACAGATATGGGAATACATCACGGAACCTGACGCTGGACGTTTTCTGTAAGACTCAAACAACATTAGCGATAGACTTTAGTAACAGAATCAGTGGCAAGCAAGCATTTATTTGGATAAACAAACCATGATTGATAACATGTTCAGTCATCTCATATGACGTAAACGCTGTTGTTGCGAAATTTGAGAGTAATTATTGAAACGAGTATGTCATTAATGCATTATTTAAATTACCATGTGACACATACATATTCAACCTTTTTTCGTGTGAAACATAGCTTATTCAGTATAAGGCTACCGATAAGCATAACAAGAAAGAACACCACACCCACCATTGTATCACCCACTCCCATTTATTTAACAATATAGTTCAAGCGCCGAACACACACACACACACACACACACACACACACACACACACACAAACGAACACAATCCTAGAAGTTATCTATCCAAGGGAAAATAAGATTAGAAACATTTTGAATGTTCCAGCACGAGAGGTTACTGGAGTTGGCATCGCTTCGACCGTCCCTGTCGCTGCTGTCTGTTCTGTCCTGATCATCGTCACCGCTGTGGTCGTCATATTTGCTGTTCGTAGAAAACAGACACGTGAAGGTAATACTGTGTGGTGTGAGTGTGAATGAGTACAACGTGAGACACATTAACTATTCTACCATAATATTTTAGAACCTTGCATTATGATTGGTCCCCAGAAGTATTGGATCCACTTTAGGCCATGAAGACCAGATTACCGCAAACAAAATATTCAGAAGCCCTTTCTGGGAAATCCTGCACGTATGACAATTTAAAATATGGATCTCACTTCATTAACGTTGCTAAATAACGTGCTGTGGTTTCTACATTATGACCAGTAAATGTGGCAGTATATTTCAGGAGAAACACGTAAAAATCAAATATTTAATGAGAGTGTAAAGAGTTATAGCGTTCGGTTTGGAATATATGTTACAAGTTTTAAATCTACGTTCGAAAGCTCTATATCTTCTTAATGAACACACGAATGAACTGGTTGTTTGCACCAGGCATTGTTGGCCGTTGCTCACATTAGTGACCATTGATCAAGATATCAGAAACCGCCCTTCAGTTTCGTTAACTACGAATGAGTCCTGCATTCAGCTGATCCATTCATGTCAACGAAACAATTATTTTTCCTGAATTGTACACAAGATATATTCTGGGTTTAAAATTCTTCCTGGAGTCTACTGTAATCACGGTATGTGATGTGTACAGCTAAGTGTGTGTGTTATCACGCGGGAATAGTTCGAGTCTCAATATTAAGGTAAAATCAATCAAATGAAAACAATTATCAATACGATATACGCGAAAGAAGGAGGGCATTGTTGTTTTCACTCGTTAATGGGATGAATAGCTGTTTAATTAAGGTTGTTATTGTCGTTGTTTTTGTTGTTGTTGTTGTTGTTAACCGCAGTGTCATACCATTAGAACAACATGAAAATGACGGCCTTGGTGAGGGTAGTGTGTGTCTGGGTTGGGAGGGGCGTTGTAATGATCATCGTTGTTATCAATATTACTGGGTCTAATCAGTTATTTAGGTTTCTTCCTTGTCGTTGACTTTGAATAAACGAAAAGACGGCTATGCTTCCCTGTCCTTGATGGCCATTATTTAGTAATCACAAGGACCAAAACCAAGTCTGTGTTAGGAAAGTGAGTCTGACACCAGCGCTTAAGGAAGAGTAATACTTCTGAGATTATATGCATAACCTTTCACTCTCGTAAATACAGTAGGTCAGACACGATGTTAAGAATGGAAAAAAAATAAATATATATTATCATTTCACAGGTATGCAATGAAATGATTAATTAGTTTATTTGTTATTTATCTTGAAATATGTATCCATAATTATCTAAAGACATTTCTAACTTTCAGAGAGGGGATACATTCATAACCGGTGAGTACATGCTGTCCATCATGTCACTGACCTTGCATAGTCAGATGAATAAAACTTTATATATACAGTTAAACTGATAGTGTATCACAGATTATCTGATGACTTGTTTGCCTTGATTAGTTCTTTCTGCTTTAATCATTTTTAATGCCTTTCCCTCAGCGTCGTCACATATACCCGGGACGAGGAAACAGACGAAAGCTACCAGGAAATAGAAGGTTGCTGTCGTAAATATTAATTAGTCATTCAACGCCATTGCATTTATATCGGATTATGCTTCTTAAATTTTACATTGTAATTGAGAATCATTTCATGAATAATGTAATCAACCCTTTCTTGAAAACAGTTCGTATTCTTTCATTTGGATAACTTTTAATGGACATACTGTTAAGTCATAACTTATCACTAACATTAATTTGTTTCTGTCGTCAAGTTGTGACTTCTTAGAAACGTTAAGCACTGATTGACCTTTTCAAATCATGAGCCACACTGGCTCTTTTACCAAAGTGCAGCTTTATCTAAACTTCTTAATCGCGTAAGAGGAAACGAGTCACATATCACAGCATACTTGAACCTATTTACCATTAGGTTCAAGGTATGCAATGACAAGGAGTCATCTGTTATTTATCTTGCATTTTGTATGCATAATTACCTGTCCAACGTTGTAACTTTCAGAGGGAGGATCCATTCAAAATCGGTGAGTATCTGCCATCGATCTTCAAGTGAAATGAATTAAAAGTTACTCTCTACGCAATGATATGGGCTTGCATGGCAATAATGTGGAAACTACATACAAGCTGTTTAACACAATGTAACTTGAAAATGTATCACAGCTCATCTGTAGGCTAACTTGTCTCTTATTTCAATCTTTTTTTAATATTCATTGTCACCAGCATGGTCTCATATGTCCGGGACGAGGACAAAGATGGGAGCTACCAGGAGATAGAAGGTTGGTGTCTTTAGGTTGTCTACTGGTTTGATGGTGTATTGGCCTGATCTAACGACTTATTGTAAGTCAACCTATCTCCCATCTAAAGCCTAAATGCTAAGACCAGGGCCCACTTGCACAAAGGGATCTTAGCGCTAATATGATCGGAACTACCATACTTTACCATAGGCTTACAATAGTCGTAGCACTAAGATCATTTTGTGCAAGTGGGCCCAGGAGTCAAATCATCGAGGATGGCACACTGTGAAAAAAACGAGAGGAAAATAATTACCATATGCTCAACAGCATTCATGGAATGCCACTGGACATTAAATAATGAGAGAAACACGAAAGGGTAAAAATAACTTTGCTTCATATAAAGTTGACTAAAAAATAATTTATTCTGAATTTAAATAATTCATCTTTTAATACATATCCATGAAGACATATCATCGACTTTAATGTCGTGATTCACAATTACCCATTAATTTTTATGCACAGTGCACAATTGGGATATTTGTTGGGAGCATGATACCCACACACGTGTTTTTTTTATGTAAACAGTTCACAATGAATGTTTAGCTGTTGGGTGCTCATAAAATTAACGTGCCGTGGGTAAGCCGTGAACAAGAATGGCGCAAATCATAGTTGGAAAACACTTAAATGTTCACTGAAACACAATATTATTTCTATTGAGACGTTGTCTACAGCAGCGCAACACTAATGTCAAGTGTGACTTCACGTCAACAAAACAACCAATTCGGTTTGTGTATCGACGGAATCGATACCAAATGTCATATGAACTGCTCAGACAATCCTTTGGTTGAGACAAATCGGTTCAGGGAGCACGATCTTTGCTGGACATTTGGAACAATATCCCAAGGCTGTATTCAATCATCTGGCGTCTTCAAGGCGTCGTCGCTGCCTCGCTTGCATCAACGCAAATGGTGGTCACACCCCATTGTTAATTGAGTGGCGTGTTTCTCTGACGCCTTTTCCCAATTATTGGTTTTGTGAATGAATTTGTTATGATAAAAAATTGGACAGACGAATGTCCAAACCATATTCAGTTTTTAATCACGTAACATTTACATCACTTCATATGAAGCACAGTTACTTTTTCCCGCTAGTATACATATATGCAAACGTTCTCATCTATTTGTGAAAGAGTTTTATAGATGTAACTGTTCCGCATTTTAGGTAAATATATTTAAACAAAGGTTTTATTATACTTTTATGTGAAATGATTACCTGATTACCTAAAAAGCACACAAATCCCTTGATTGTTCATTTGGATATTTAGATCAAACAATAACAATTATACAATAACTATAATAAAATAGGTTAGATAGTCTTCATATATCAGCAGACATCCCGAAGTCATATGGTGTTTTTTAAAAGCCATTATATGTTCTCTTGATGACACCTGTTAAACATATTAGTGAGCCATCGTGAATCATAACCTGGGTTATTTAATACGCATGTATGTTCGAGAAACGGATAGTTGTATTGGTCATACGCATTGTCATTTCATACGACATTAATCCCTAATGTTTGAGATATATCACTGCACGGTAGACATTTTCTTGTGAAGTATCATATTGACTATACATGTGTGTAACTTTTGTCATACACCAGAAGAGGTGAACGTAGACGACATCGCCCCTCTTGTAGCTGTCTACTCTGTCATGCTCACGGCTGTGGCGGTTGTGGTGGCAGCAGTTGCTATTCTTGTCTGCAAGGACGTAAAAGGTAAGGAAACAAATTACTCTCTTACAATTCCATCAACCTTATGTTCATCTTTTGCCAAGTATCTAGAAACGCTGAAGTCTTGTTTTGTCAGTGTTGTCTTTTTTGGTAGAAATATATGTTTTGCGCGAAGTTTCATTCGTTAAAGAATTTGACTCATACAACGTTTCTTTACTTTCAGATGGTCACAGCAGAAGGTAAATACACGTTGTATTGTTGCAGGTGAAATACTTGAGTTGTATGTTATAATAAGGTCTCGGGGTAACTTCATATCGGTGGAAAAACCCCACCGATATATCTCATGTTTCTATTTATGTGAAGGAAAGTAATTTTGAGTTACCTGAGACAATGATAATACAATAGTTAAATAAAACAATAGCTGTATTTTCATTTGTATCTTGTGATGGTAATTACTCAAATGAATGTATGCTATGTATGATTTGTGCAGAAGGGTGGGAAAATGTTAAAGTTGTGTTTCTTTTAAGTCGGAGATGGATAATTTGTTAGGAACAAAAGGTTTCTCTTCATATAATAGGTTGTATTGCCAGCCGCATTTAAACAATATACATGTATCCTTCTTTGTCTGTGCAAGTCAATTTCATCTGTAAGGTACAATTTGTGTGTACGTTTTACATTGTAATTATAGATTTGATGAATATCTAACTGTGGTGCGGGAGAGACTATCCTGTGACATCAGTGATGCACCTTGTGCTGCCATCAACGACGAGGATGCCTTATCCTTGCATGATTATGAGCGATTACTGAGGGAACAGTTCCACATCTACACGTGCCTCCACCCTTCAGCTTCCTCCACAGAGGACAGACGTACCAGGTGCAGCCTAATGTGAGGGAACAATTTCCCATCTAAACGTGTCCCAACCCTTCAGCTTCCTCTGCACACGTCCATAGTACCAGGTGCAATCTAATGTGATGGAACAGTTCAACATCCACACGTCTGTCCATCCTTCAGCTTCCTCTACAGACGTCCACAGTACCAGGTGCAGCCTAATGTGAGGGAACAGTTCCACATCTACACGTGTCTCAACCCTTCAGATTCCTCTACAGACGTCCACAGTACCAGGTGCAGCCTAATGTGAGGGAACATTTCAACAATTACACGCCTCTCTCCATCCTTCAGCTTCCTCTACAGACGTCCACAGTACCAGGTGCAGCCTAATGTGAGGGAACAGTTCCACATCCACACGTGTCTCAACCCTTCAGATTCCTCTACAGACGTCCACAGTACCAGGTGTAGCCTAATGTGAAGGAACAGTTCCACATCCACACGTCTGTCCATCCATCAGCTTCCTCTACAGACGTCCGCAGTACCAGGTGTAGCCTAATGAGAGGGAACAGTTCCACATCCACACGTCTGTCCATCTACAGCTTCCTCTACAGACATCCACAGTACCAGGTGAAGCCTAATGTGAGGGAACAGTTCCACACCCACACGTCTGTCCATCCATCAGCTTCCTCTACAGACGTCCGCAGTACCAGGTGTAGCCTAATGAGAGGGAACAGTTCCACATCCACACGTCTGTCCATCCATCAGCTTCCTCTACAGACGTCCGCAGTACCAGGTGTAGCCTAATGAGAGGGAACAGTTCCACACCCACACGTCTGTCCATCCATCAGCTTCCTCTACAGACGTCCGCAGTACCAGGTGAAGCCTAATGTGAGGGAACAGTTCCACATCCACACGTCTGTCCATCCATCAGCTTCCTCTACAGCCATCCACAGCACCAGGTGTAGCCTAATGTGAGGGAACATTTCCACATCCACACGTCTGTCCATCCATCAGCTTCCTCTACAGACATCCACAGTACCAGGTGTAGGCCATTGTGAGGCAACAGTTCCACATCCACACGTCTGTCCATCCATCAGCTTCCTCTACAGAAGACCACAGTACCAGGTACAGCCTCATGTGAGGGAACAGTTCCACATCCACACGTCTGTCCATCCATCAGCTTCCTCTGCAGCCATCCACAGTACCAGGTGAAGCCTAATGTGAGGCAACAGTTCCACATCCACACGTCTGTCCATCCATCAGCTTCCTCTACAGAAGACCACAGTACCAGGTACAGCCTCATGTGAGGGAACAGTTCCACATCCACACGTCTGTCCATCCATCAGCTTCCTCTGCAGCCATCCGCAGTACCAGGTGAAGCCTAATGTGAGGGAACAGTTCCACATCCACACGTCTGTCGATCCATCAGCTTCCTCTACAGCCATCCACAGCACCAGGTGTAGCCTAATGTGAGGGAACATTTCCACATCCACACGTCTGTCCATCCTTCAGCTTCCTCTACAGACGTCGACAGTACCTGGTGCAGCCTCATGTGAGGCAACAGATCCACATCCACACGTCTGTCCATCCTTCAGTTTCCTCCACAGACGTCCACAGTACCAGGTGTAGCCTCATGTGAGGGAACAGCCAAAGGGAAACGTTTTCCCCGATGTGCGATGCAAGGAAAACTTGAGGCCCCGACGTGTCATATGCATTGTTTCGATATATCAAGCGGAGGATCACATTGACGTTAACATTTATGAAATATTATCGCTTTAAACAGTATTATAGAACATAGCTTGTGGCAGTTGCAGACCTCCAAACATGGTTCTTCTTTTCAACAGTTTTCTATTGATTATGATTGTTTATATGTGTACATATTGGTGCTACTAGTTCTTTTATGCCTTCATTGTTGTAATTGTCGCCTGTGGTCATTACTGTGTTTGTTTGTGAAGCCTTCTATGATTTATTTTTAACCAATAATCCGTGTTTAATTCATTTCGATAGGTTTCGCATTGTCTTACTATAAATAGATCCACACTGATATCCTTGTTTGATCCCTAGAGATAAACATTTGCTTTCATTGTGCCAGTTTTCGTTTCCTACGAAATTGACTGCTTTTTAAAAAGGAAATGGGTAAAATGGATCATATGGTTACATACACATAAATTCAGAACAGGGTAATTAAATAATTCCAGTTCATAGGTTTCTTTTTCAAGGACTGGAATGGAAATATTGAAATTAACTTCTGATGATGTCACTGCTGTTTACAAGGAAATCTGTGCGAAGGAAGGAATATGCAACATTGTAAACTTTATTGCAAATTTTATCACATAATCATTTCACGTTTTGGATGGTACATGGGTATGTCATATATTAATCTGATTTGTAGACTTTGAATAGTCACTTCAGTGGAAATACTAACATTATATGCTGACATTAAAATAACGTGTAAATTAATAATTGTTTCAAGCGTTTGTTGATGATATATGTTCGTGTCGGTTCTGATTGTACTATTCACACACATGACGGTTAGTGAACTTTCACAACATAAACAAAATAACAGGGCATTGAAATTGAGGTCGAAATTATCACTCATGGTATTTCCGATTAAGTATTTATACTTCAACTGATACAAAGAGATAAATGAATGTATTTTAAACCTTTCTTATTTCGTTTCTTTTTCATTCTGACGTACGCTTCTGACAATTCACAATTATAGTGAGGACATGCTCTTTGTATTTATGATACTGATATTGGCTATTTTAAGCCTTTTATAAAATAACTTGTCACAATTGAATGTCACAAATATATGTCCAATGCATTCCAAGAAGGAAAGTTAGGATTGAATCGCTTTAGCATCATGAAAACTCAGTAATTGGCAACCTTCAATTTGTTCGACACACTGTCACCCACAGTTATAGTGATGCATCTATGATAGCATCCTGGATTTGAACCAGGCATTTGAAGGTAGGCAGTTTAGGATCGCAGCTGACGATTTGCGATCACACTTTCTTCAATTTGAGAAACAAACGAGTATACAGTGAATTTCTTAATAGCATCTGTGTCGATAGACTGATAATAAATGTTTAATCAACTGAACTTGGCTTATTGCAATATTTGTTGGGAAATTAACGCAAGTCAATACTGGCTATCTGCAAAACAAGGACGAAACTAAGTTTGCAGGAAAGATTGTCTTACCTGACAGCGCTGCAACAGGCAAATAAGGATAGCTTCCATCGATACAACTGCTAGACGCACATACTGCTATTTTCAATCGATACACACGCACACACATGCACGCACACGCACGCACGCACGCACGCACGCACGCACACACACACACACACACATTTTCATCTTCCTTCGACACAAGGCGCGGTTGTGTGAGCCGTGTGGTTTAAGCAATTGCTCGTCACAGCAAACGCCCGGGTTCTATAACCCACAAGAGTACAATGTGAGGCCCATAAGAGAGTGTTATTTATTCAGCTTGTATTTGTGTTTTGCTGCTTTTCAAAACTCAGACGTCAGTACCATGATATGTACATGAGTAACATTAGGAGCAACATTAGAATGTGCTCAGTTTACCAAAATATATATCAGAGAAAAATTGAATGTTCCAGAAACCTTTGATTGTGGGATCGAATCCCTGTTCGCATCGATTATATGTCTTGGTTTGTCATCCCCGTTACCCATTCGGGTTTCACCGAAGTCTTAAACGTCTGAGATCTGCATCACGTCGGGCTTTCCTCCCACATTAAGATGACACGCTGTGATACAACTGGAATACTGTTAAAAGCGGCGTTAAACCCAACTCACTCACTCCCTCATCAAACATTGAACACGTTCCAATGCATTATACTATAATGACATACTGCACCCATCCTCAAAACACCAGAAAACATATCTACAATTGCGACGTTAAACGCAACTCACACACTCAATTTAGTGTGCAATTATATTTAAATGCAGAAGTGGGTGGGTAAGTGATTATTGTTGGAGTATTGCTAAAAACGGCGTAAAACCATATAAAGTCGAGGGACACCAGAAATGGGCTTCACACAGTGTACCCATGTCGGGAGCCGAACCCGGGTCTTCTGCGTGACGAACGAATGCTTTAACCACTAGTCTGCCCGACCACCCTTAATGTAGAAATGTCATTATCTACTCGTGTGTTTTTGATAATTATGGCAGTCACGGTAAAACCACGTGAAAGCTCAGTCATGTGTACTCATGTATTTTACACATAGAGAGTTGAGCTTGGTACAATGTAAAACTTCCTTTTCACAAGCTCACACAAATGCACCAGATGATAAACACAAGGAAGCCTCTCGACAAGTGTGACACATGTTGAAGTCAAAATAGAAATAACATATAAAATAGTTCATACTTCCTTGTATTGACTATGTG